TATGAGCCTTTAATGTTGCCAATGAATTTTTTTTGTTGTTGTTGTATATTAATATGCCATTATTGTGCTTGTGGAATTGCATATACGGAATTATTCGAGCTCGCATTGGATCTCTTTGGTGGCCATCGACGAGTGCTTGACCAACGGATCGCTTGTATGGAGGGGAGGAAAATAAGACTATTGATTCTTGTATATATATGTTGTGTGATTTTATTGATCTTGTTGTTACAAATTAACATGCAATGAAGCATTCTTTATCTCTGTGGAGGAACGGGTCCATGGACATTGGGAGACGTCGACTTACATCCCTATAATAATAATGTTGGACAAGTCCGCTGACCATGTACATCTCTGTATTCAGTCTGTTTAATTTATCATTTAAGAGGCTTTGCTTTTTCAGCGGTTTGTAACCACGATGTTCTCTACAGTAACTCAGCATTCATAAAAATAAATTGATGCACAGCTAAAAGTATTAATTTATGTAGATAAAATTCGTTGTTTGAGATTCTCATTCGGTTATTTTATTTTATTATCAACATTCTCTAGTCATTCTGCTTCAGCTGTATGAAAACACCCTAACCGCGCGCGGTTGAACTGCTCCCAAAAATTTTATTCGATAAATATCATTTATATTTAGTAATACTATAAAAAAACCCGTAAAGAAAAGTCCTTTTACCCTGCACAAAGCAATAACCGGTTAGATTGAAAAAATAACAGATATGAACAATAACTTATAATTATCGAAGAAGTTACATAGTTTCGATTCAGCTATTTATAACCTCAAGTCCTGAGTAGTACCCGTTTATAGACCTTAGTTCCCAAGATGCAGCACACACTAACCAATAGTAGAAGGCTCAGAGTTCTGACTTCAACATATTAAACGGTTGCCATGACCCAGTGCTCGAGCCGTCGGATGGTGACTAGCCTAAAAGGAAATCTTTCTAATGCTGTTCGGGTGATACATAGGTACAGCTTTGGGACGAGAAGTTTTTGGGGATATAAAAGAGATGGGATATACTGTAAACATGTAATTTATTGGTTAAAAAATTTGTTAAATGAAGTTTGGCGTTTAGCCTTTTCTACAGACTCATCTAACATCGAATTATATTACGTATATAACTTTCTGCTGTAAAATCTCTCTGTTCTAAGAGCCTTTTAACTACATTAAGTGCCAGTCTTCCTGTCCGCATTGAAATAATCGTTTCCTCCTCGTCGCTTGAGTCTTCTTCAACATGCAGAACACCTTCAGATGACCTGATCGCTTTTCAGCACGTTTGATTTTTTGCTGATTATTTTAACAACGGGAAAAGTTTGTACCGGACGTAAAAATAGAAATAACATGACAGTTTGCGTAATACTCTCATAATAGTAAATTAGAGATAGCAACAGTAATTGGGACGGCAAAAATATCGGGGATAGGGATATACAGTATCTGAAGGGGACACTAATGAGGTGAACTTATAAATAGAAATCCGTCCCGCTTCACAGGGTGGATATATATTAGGTTGGGGTATTAAAGGGTGGGGATTTAAAAGAGGTATGTTTCATAGGATGTGGCAAAATGACGCATACATGAAAAAATTTTTAATTCTTTATACTGATTGCCAAAAAAGATCTAGGCATGGGGTAATGCTCAGTTTATGATTGGGCACTGCACGTTCTTTACGTCGATCATTTTTACCTTTACAAGCTGTCTCTTTAAAACTTTATTATGGGTGAAACGTCCCTACATGCCGATCAACCGGAAATTCATTCCTGACGAAATTTTCGTGACAAACAATCGAGCAGCAAACAGACGATCACGTAACTGAACCAATAAACGTTTATGACCATGTTTACTTAAATACCAGCCAACTTGTCCCAGAAAAGAAACGATTAAGCAAACCCCGCCATGATCTTCCGCTCTGCATTTCCCGATATTGAAATACCATCATTGGGTGTCTACCAATACGCAACGCGAAACATAAATGGAATTGATGATAGCAAACCATTAATTATCGATGGTGTGACTGGTGCGGAGATGACATTTGGTGAATTTAAGAGGGACTCAAAGAGACTGGCAGCTGGCTTACAAGATAAGCTCGGTTTGAAAAAGGGCGATGTGGTAGCTATATTCTCACCTAATCAGGTAAGATTCAAAAATATTAAGAGGGGACGTCAAAGGTTTAACCTACGCTTAACGGGTGTTTATGATACTATCAGATCGACTATGCCGTAGTCTTCTTTGGCATAATTGCAGCCGGTAAGTCGATTATTGTTTCTTATTGGCACGCACACCCCACCTCTAACCAACCGTTCATCATTTCGCAGGTGCTATCCCAACGTTAGCAAACCCTCTGCAAACGCCGAACGAATTCCAAGCTCAGTTCTGTGATTCAACCGCCTCAATCATAATCACCCATCCGCTTTTCTTGGCCACTGTTTTTGAAGTAGCAAAAAACTGCCAGTTTCCTCTGTCAAAAATCTTTCTCTTCGGTGGTGAAGAAAAAGATGGCATTAAACCATACACGGAGCTATTGGGAGACCGGGAAGCTGAACCAGTTGTATTTACGAAAAAAGAGATTAAGGAACAACCAGCGTTTCTGTGTTATAGTTCCGGAACAACTGGGCGGCAGAAGGGTGTTATGACCACACATTACAACGCAGTGGCCAACTGTGAACAATACAAGGCGTTTGAGGAACCAAAACTGAATCCGAATCTCGTTTTTATGGGTCTTTTGGTAAGTTTAAATCTGGAGATGCTTGGCGAAGTTGGGGGAGTCGATTTTAGGTTTCTAAACTGGCTTTTCCTTCTCCACTTTCGTGCAGCCTCTTTTCCACATATACGGACTTTTCATTCTCAGTGTATCTCTCTCATCAGTAAGTGAACTGTTTGTTTCTCGCGTATCCTTTCTCTTCCTCTTCTCACAATAAACGTTCTCTTCGTTCTTGCATAGGGCGCTACCATTGTGATCCTTCCAAAGTTCGATTTAACGCTCTTTTGCACGACCATCCAAAAATACAAAGTCAATCTGGCTCATGTCGTTCCGCCCATTGTACTGTTATTGACAAAGGATCCGACCGCAAGGACCTTTGACTTTTCGAGTATGCAAGTATTCACATGCGCCGCCGCACCGTTGGGCGAGTCATTGACAAAAGAGTTTTACGATCTCTATAAAGTACCTGTAAAGCAAGGATATGGTATGTTCCCGTATATTTGCTGTTTTTTCTCGAGAATGAAAGTGATATTTTTTTTTCTGACCCCCTCTTCCTTCACGGTATTGTAGGTTTAACAGAGACATCACCGCTTACTCATATTGATATCACCTCGAACCCAACCTTTGGTAGGTAGCCCACATACAAAATGGAAAGGAACGGATTATGGTATAAATTAGAATCTCTAATCAAATAATCATCCCAGGTTCAGTTGGAAATCTTATACCGAACCTTGAAGCAAAGATCATATCCGAAGATGGCAAAGGTAAACTGCCACAGTTTCTTTTCTTTTTCTTCTTTTTGAATTCCTCTGTTTTTGCTGGCCATTTGTAAACGTTAATCTGTTTTATCATAGAGCTCGGGTATCACGAACACGGAGAATTATGCGTTCGTGGACCCAATGTCATGAAGGTATGTACCGTGTGAACGTAATCGAATGTAACCATATGCATGCTATGGAATAGAAGAAGCGATGACAATTGTGCTCATACAAATTCCGTGCTATGATTATCAGGGTTATTGGAAAAACAAGGAGGCAACAGATGCGTGTTTCGACAGCGAAGGATTCTTCCATACTGGTGATGTCGCGACCGTCGCAAGTATCATTTCTAAACTGACTGCCTTTTTCTTGTGGCGATTTTTTGTGTTAATACTAATTAGATATTATCTTTTTTTCTTCTCTTTTCGCGTCGACAGGATGAGAATGGTAGGTTTGAAAAATTCGTTTACTTTTACAACTTGCTTACTCAGTTAGTTATCAATCGACTCACAATCCTTCCCTTCTTTTCTTTTCAGGAAAGTACTTCATCGTTGACCGCTTAAAGGAACTGATCAAATACAAAGGTTTCCAGGTACCTTTTTGGCTTCTGTTTCCTTCTCTTCAATCGTAATCACAGCCCGCCCTACCGACGCAAAAGCAGTTTCTGACTAAGCCGATCTATCTAGATTGCTCCGGCCGAACTTGAAGCCCTCCTTTTAACTCATCAATGCGTAGCTGATGCAGCCGTTATTGGTGTTTTTGTCGAATCAGAAGTGACAGAGTATCCTGTTGCATACATTCACGTCAAACCAGGCATCGAGCAGACTGATGAACTCAAGAAAGATATTCAAAAGTTTGTTGCAGAAAACGCTGCACCATGCAAGAAACTGCGTGGAGGTGTCGTTTTTGTTGATAAAGTGCCGAAGAGCGCGTCAGGAAAAATCTTGAGGAGGCAGTTGAGGGACAGGGTCAAGGACGATTTGGCTAAGCTGAATCAGTTAGTAGGTATATAGGTTATGTGTTAAAAGAAGTATTGATGTAGTATCCACAGAATAATTACAAACTAGTTTACTGTAATTTAGCCTTCTAACTTAAATTGATAACACTTAATTTTCTCAATTGGTGGTGTTTATTCATTGAATTAAGGAAATGACTGATTATCTGATAACTACAACCGTTGCCTAATAAATGCTTGATCGACTTAAAGGATACTAACCTTGTTAATGTAATAGATATATCCCTTAATCGAGTGAAAACTGAAGCAGGACATTGATAATCGAAAGTATCGAAAGCAAAAATGCGGGCGGAACGGCCAATAATATACAGTATATGTTGATAAGGATCACCTTTCTCCGGCCGTAGATGTGGGAGAAGATACAATGTGTAAACAGGAAATAATATCGATCTGGTTTTCAAATATTGAAGAAATTCTCTATTTTATTATTACCTGTTGTTGCTATCGGCGTATTATTTAATGGTGTGGTTGGGAGAGCCGATATTATCTTACTACAACGGTAGTTTAATTAAAGACTTGAATACGTAAGCCAATATTTATGCGCGCTTCTTCCTACTCTCCATGTAACACTCTTCCGGTGTTCGTATACAAATAAGGAAATTCGTGGAATAACGATAACAACAATTATCATTGCGTGGAGTCGAAGGGGAAATTTTATCTATTAAACTAAACAGGGCTATACTTCGACCTGGTGTTTTGACTAGTCAATTGGTTGTCACTTGTCCGTTTCTAAACTAATCAAATAAAAATAGTATCGTTTTCAATATTAACAAGGAACGCCTAAGCTCCATTAACATTAAATATGTTGCAATCTTCTCTTGAATCATTCCGGAACTTTAGTTTCCCAATATTTTATTTTGTAATAAATAATGTGCATTATATTTTATACATACTCAAGCCACTAAAGTAATATTTATAATTGAACGCTTGTGCGTTTTGGGATTTCGTTTTTTCGTTGTACGTACGCGTTGCAGCATCCGATATAGCCATTATAAATACGTAACAGTCCCGAACGCGGATAAACTGTAATAATAAGCAAGCGCGAATCGCAAGTTTATTCAACGAATGTTTGAGTCACTAAATTATAAGCAGTGGACGAGATTAATATTGTAAATTGGTTTCGTTTGTACAAACATGTTGCTAGCGTTATCTTCATACCTGCAGCTGAATCCAAATCGTAACTGTTTCTCGGTTTAGGCAGATCTCCAGTAGGTAAGAGCTTACTAGAATATTTACTCTCCTTCTCGAGACGTGACAAAGGTTTTACATTATTATAATAAACGGCATCCCATGTATTGTCCTCGCGCGTCCTTCCAAAAAGCTCTTCAATATCCTTAATCAAAACACCAGGACGCTTATCAGGATCAGCATCGCAACATCGCTCCGCAAGTTTCTTGTATTCCTCTGGTGCGGAATCAGGCATCGACGGTCGTAGTCCACCCATAATGTCACATACTAAGTCTCTATCGAACTGCCTGTCTCTAAAGGGTGGTTCACCAGTAGCAATCACATACATAATGACACCGAAAGAATATATGTCTGATTCCTGAGTAAATTTGCTCGTATGGAAGACTTCCGGTGCAATAAAAGGTAAAATGCCTCGAATGGTTGGATTTGACTCGTGCGAATTCACCGATTGTGAAAGACCGAGATCGCATATCAATGAATCTATCTTATTATGCATATTGTAATGCATAACAATGTTTCCACTATGTAGATCACAGTGCACTAAACCCATGCTATGAATAGTATTCAGATATTCTGCAATATCTTTCAAATGTCGTAATTTATCCAACCACGTCAATTTGTTAATATTTTGGTCCAAATAAGACAAAAGACTACCATTGTTAGCATATTGCATAACAATCATGTACTCTTTTGTTTCTGGATCTTGTGTCACTCCATAAATAGAAAGGAATGAATAACCACTGTTTGCACACTTGACATGATTTCTGAACTAAAATAAAAATAATTGCAGCGTCAAATTAAATATCGAGTTAATTAATACTACAATATTTACTTACTTCAGAGATAAATAATTCTGGTGTTTCATCAAAACTCTTAAACCGTTTGAGTACAACAGTTTCTTGCATATCTATATCCTGTACTTCTGAATACTTTTTATACTTGGCAGTATAAACTGTTCCATAACCACCAGACCCAATCTCTTTGATCTCATTAAAGTCACTATGCTGCATGTACTTTACATGGTTATTATTTCGTATAAATCTATCCAATATTGTATGTACATCTTGGTGGAACACCAAATAGTATTCCCGAGTGGACGGTTCTTGAGTAATTCCAACTATCCAAACATTATCAGGGGTTAATATCACTGGGTGTTCCCTGGTTAGCTATTTGAGTAAACAGATACAGGCGTTACCCAATGTTAAACATATGAAATGCACTTATCGATTGCATAAACAAGGTTACCTGATGAAAATCATCCCCTTCACCAACTATCCGTTTGAGTGCCACTCTCGTCGATTTATCTGTTGCCGGCTCTAACCAATCTGCTATATGCGTGCATCCATGGCGTAATGGCGTCATCTCTTGCACATTTGTTAATAGAGAATATTCTATCCATTGTATATACGCATCACATTCATGCTCCGTATTACTCCACGACTCTATAATAAATGAATCTAAAGACTTGTTGCCAGTCGTCCAATCAAGAGGTCGTGGTGCTTTACAATCGAAACAGAATGCATCTATCTTGGGTTCTAATGTTCTTGTACACGCCAGACATGATCCATGTCCTTTTATGAGATAATACTTTTGTTCGGTTGCTTTGTATGTAAATCCGATGGTAACCCAAACATCTTTGTTAAGGATATCAGGATGTTTATCACATAACTAATGATACATAATAATAAGTCAATAATTATTTAAACTACTCAATAAACATGACGCATAAGTAAATAGTTTACCTCGGCATAATATAAATCATGTGT